CCTTAAATGTTTGGTAGACTCCTTCTGGAAAGCCATCTGGCTTGGACTCTTGTTTTTTTGGGAGATTTTTTGACTCCTAATTCATTTCTTTTACTGGTTATGGGTCTGTTCATATTCTCTGTTTCTTCCTGTTTCAGTTTTGGTAGTGTATATGTTTCTAGGAATTTGTCCATTTCTTCCAGATTGCCCATTTTATTGGCGTGATAAATTGATTGCTCAATATTCTCTTTCTTATTATTATTTTTATTTGCTGTGTTGTTGTGATTCTCCTCCTTTCGTTTCTTGATTTTTATTTATTCTGTCCTTTCCTTTTTCTTTTTGGTCAAACTGGCTAGTGGTTTATCAGTTTTGAAAGCATCTTACCAAAGAACCAGCTTGGCTCTTAGCTTGATCTGTTTCCTGCATCAGCTCTTGGTTTCGATGGCATTGATTTCTGCTCTAATCTTTATTATTTCCTGTCTTCTGCTGGTTTCAGGTTTTATTTGCTATTCTTTTTCCAGCTCTTTAAGGTGTAAGGTTAGGTTGTGTATCTGAGAGCTTTCTTCCTTCTTTAGGAAGGTCTGGATTGCTGTATACTTCCCTCTTATGGGAACCTGCATCGCAGAGGTTTTGGGCTGTGGTGGTATGATTTTCACTGGCTTCCATGTACTTTTTAATTTCTTCCTTAACTTCTTGGTTAGCCCATTAATTCTTTAGTCGGATGTTCTTTAGTCTCCAAGTATTTGTTACCTTTCCGAATTTTTTCTTGTGGTTGATTTTGAGTTTCATAAAGATCGTGGGTTCGAAAATATGCAGCAGGCGATCTCAGGGATCTTTAGTACTTGTTGATGGCGGATTTGTGTCCCAGTATGTGATCTATTCTGGAAGATGTTCCATGTGCACTGGAGAGGAATGTATATTCTGCTGCTTTAGGATGAAATGTTCAGAATATAACTGTTCAGTCCATCTGGTCCAGTGTGTCATTCAAAGCCATTGTTTTCTTGTTGATTTTCTGGTTTAGATGATCTGTCCATTGCTGTAAATGCGGCATTGAATCCCCTACTATTATGGTATTATCAGTAAGTTTCTTTATTTTTGTGATTAATTCATTTATATATTTGGGTTTTCCCACATTTGGAGCATAAATGTTTACAGTTGTTAGGTCTTCTTGGTGGATAGACCCCTTAATTATGATATAATGCCTGCTTTACCTCTTATTACATTGTTTACTTTAAAGTCCAGATTATCTGATATCAGTATGGCTATTCCGGCTTTCTTTTGGTGACCATTAGCATGATAGATGGTTCTCCATCCCCTTACTTTCAATATGAAGATGTCTTTCGGTCTAAAGTGGGTCTCTTGTAAACAGCATATAGATGGATCTTGTTTTCTTATCCATTCTGTTACCCTATGTCTTTTGATGGGAGCATTTAGTCCATTGACATTTAGAGTGAGTACTGAAAGATATGAATTTATTGACATTATGTTGCTTCTAGAGTTGAAGTTTCTGGTGGTGTTCTCTGGTCATTTCTAGTCTTTGATGCTTTTGGTATGTATGTATGTATGTATGTATGTATGTATGTATATATGTATGTATATCTTTTCTCCCCTAAGAGAATCCCTGTTAAAATCTCTTCCAGGGCTGGTTTAGTGGTCACAAACTCCTTTAATTTTTGTTTGTGTGGGAAACTTTTTATTTCTCCTTCTATTTTGAATGACAGCCTTGCTGGATAAAGAATTCCTGGCTGCATATTTTTCTGATTCAGCACATTGAATATATCCTCCCACTCCTTTCTGGCCTGCCACGTTTCTGTGGATAGGTCTGCTGCAAACCTGATCTGTATTCCCTTGTAGGTTAAGGACCCTTTTTTTTCCTTGCTGCTTTCATGATTCTTTCCTTGCCAGAGTAATTTGTGAATTTGACTATGGTATGTCTTGTTGGTGGCTGTTTTGTATTGAATCTAATGTGAGTTCTCTGTGCTTCCTGGATTTTGATGTCTGTGTCTTTCCCCAGGTTAGCAAAGTTCTCTGCTATGAGTTGCTCACATAACCTTTCTACCCACTTTTCTCTCTCTTCATCTTCTGGGACCCCTATGATTCTGATGTTGTTCCTTTTTAGTGAGTCACTGATTTCTCTAATTCTTAAATCATGCTCTTTTGCCTTAGTCTCCCTCTTTTTTTCTGCTTCATTATTCCCCATAAGTTTGTCCTCTCTATCTCTGATTCTCTGCTCTGCCTCATGCATCCTTGTCATCATGGCATTCATTCGAGATTGCAGCTTAGTTATACCATTTTTTATTTGATCCTGACTAGCTTTTACTTCCTTTATCTCTGCAGAAAGGCATTCTAATCTGTTTTCGACTCCAGCTAGTATTCTTACTATCGTGATTCTAAATTCTGTTTCAGACATCTTGTTGCATCTGTGTTGGTCAAGTCCCTGGCAGTCGTTTCTTCCTGCTCTTTCTTTTGGGGTGAAATCCTTCATTTCGTCATTTTGAAGGGAGAAAAGTCATTAATGAGGTAAAAAAAAATTAAAATTAAAAAAATAAAATTAAAAAATTAAAAACAACACACACACATATAAATCAAATAAATTATGCTAGATCCTAGGTGTGTTTTGGTCTGGGTGTTGAAAGGGGCTTAATAGATTAGAGAAAAAAGGGGAAAGAAAAAAAAAAGGAAATCATTTGAAAATTTGAAAAACTGAATACACTGAAATAGAATAAAATGAAATGATGGAAATAAAATAGAATTTGAAAAAAATTACACAAAAGTAAAAAATATAGTAGAAAAAAATTAAAGGTATTTTTAATAAAAATTGAAAATGAAAATTTTTCTGTATTTATGAAAAAGAAATGAAAGAGAAAAAGAAAATTGAATAGATGGACCAGTGAACAAACTGAAATATGATTGAAATGACTTAGTTTTCACCTAGAAGTCAAACTATGAATCGCTTTATATCCCATAAACTAAGCAGGTGGAGAGATTTGTGTTCCTGAAGAGTGAGGTTGGCCCAGTTGGACTGGGCTTAGTGTAACAACTCTGTTCTCCACTAGATGGCGCTGCTTAGTTTACTGGTGTGAATTGTTGTGGAGCTTGTAGGTGTGTATACCCATGAGCGGGAGGGGTGAAAATGGCATCACCCAGCTACCCAGTCTCTAGTATCAGAACTCTGTTCTCCCCATCCATAATTGCCCACCCGTCCTTTGTCTCTGGCTTCTGTCCACTCCACACTCCTACACTGTCCATGACCAAACCCCAGGCAGCTCCTCCCTCCTGAGTTTTATCTCAAATGTGGCTGTTTTTCCTGACCCCTTACTTCTGAGGGACTGTGGCTTTGACCCATTCCGCCCCTCTGCGGGAGGGTCTAACTGAGCAATGGCTGGGTGCTGGCCACACCCAGGAACATTCACGGGAACGTGCTGCTGCTGATGCCCAGAGACTGCGGCTGGGTGCCAGCCCACCCCAGAAAAAGTTCCCAAGATGGTGTAGCAGCAGCGTTTCAGGGATTATGGAAAATCACAACAAGCATCTGGCACCAGGCTTCACCCCCAACGACCTTGTTCTAGCACCAGCAAATGTGGGTGTTCTTCTGAGGCCACTGGGGCCTTTCCCTGGGGGAGGCCACACAGCCTCTATCAGATGTCCTCCCAGCAGGGGAACCACCTCTCCTCATGTGGCCGGAAGACCCCCGGACTTCACTTTGCTCCAGGGGATTTGCCCTTCTTACCAGAGCACCTCCAGGTATCAAGCTGTGGAGTTTCAGACTCTGTGCTCCCCCTGTTTGTAGAGTTCTAATGGAATTTAAGCCCTCTCCTTTCTCCTTTCTCCCTTTTTAGTTCAGTCCCTTTGGCTGTTTCCCCTTTTCCACTTTCTCTCCAGCTGATTTTGGGGGGGTGCTTTTCCCATACTCTCCCCTCCTCTCTGTCCTCTCTCCACAGGCAAAAACTGCTCCCTGCCCTCCACGGCTTCTCTCTCCCCCAGTTGACCTCTCCACACCGCATACCTGCTGAGTTCTGTGGTTCAGGTTGTACAGATCATTGTGTTAATTCTCAAATCAGTTTTCTAGGTGTGCAGGATGCTTTAGTGTTGATCTGGCTGTATTTCATGGACGCGAGACACAAAAAAAACTTCCATGCTGTTCCACCATCTTGGGTCCTCCCCCCAATTAAGTATTTTTAAATGTACCAGGGAGGAAATGGGAACTGAACAGAGATGAGATGGGGTAGGTATGGAACAGCATGCTAGGTTTGAGACTGTGAGGTAGAAAAATAGGGCAGAGGAGGAAGAAGACAGTCTGCTGTCCCCATGACTTGCTACATCCAGATCTCTGGTCTTTGGGAGTTAGAGTAGACACAGAATGCCCTTGAAACATTTGTAAATGAGTATAGATATAAAAAAATAATAGAGATTCTATTATCTGACTAGACTTTTGTTTTTTGGCTCATATATATATATATATATATATATATAT